CAAATGAAGGAAGTTCCTCTAACGGCCACTAGAGGCTGGCTCGAGCAGTGAGTCTCCATAAGGCTCCATATTAAAATTTACTTTACAGCGGAAACAAACATGTTTACAACCTGATACGTAAACAGTTTTGGTCTCTAGAGATAATTTATGCTTTCATGATGACTGTACGGAGGGTGAAGTTATATGAAACTCACCCGTTTAAATTATATTAAAGCTTAAAGTTCTGCATCCACATTTGACACAGCTGTTGAGTTTATATTCGGGTTAAACAAACGAGCTCCAGTGTGTTAATTACTGAGCTTTAGAGGCTTTTCTGCTGCTTTCAATCGTCAAATATTTTCACATATTTCATCCTGCGACTGCTGGAAACAACTAATCCTAACAGCATTAATACGGCCACCATGTTGTCCGCCCGTTAAATCCACATTAATTTGCCTCGGCTGTAAATTCCCTCGTGCACGTTGACAGCAAACAACAACAGAAACACAGAGAGACGATGTTCACTGACACACGAGTGTACAGTAGTTTTATAACGTAGTTTAACAGCATATTATATATATATATTTATATTTATATATCAGTGTTTGATTCCGACAACCATTTAAAATCACCGCTGTAGAGGCAGCTGTAGTTGTTTGGACACAGGCAGGCTAGCTGTTTCCCCTTACTTCCAGTCTTTATGCTGTTTGATCTTCAGAACGACGAATGTGCGGCAGATGTTTGTGAACACACTGTAATGAAACAATATCACCAGACTCCCTTTAAAAATCGCACGATTTTGTGAGTTACTGAGCGAGGAGAACATTTATTATCGTTGTTCAACGTTATCTACGACAGATTGTTATTTATTTGGGCTTTCTTGTAAATTCGGGACGTCATTTGTTACTTATTTGTCTCTCAGTGTGTTAATATATGTCTGGAGGGGATCTTTAACACTTAAAATGTGTCGAAATGCTCAGCTATTATTTCAGCCGTCCAAACATTTTGTTCCCACATCAACCCAAAATAAAACTGTAGCAACAGTAATCCGATACTAACTGCTACTATAACTAACAAATAATGAAACGCCGTCCGGAGCATTAAATCCACCTTAATTTGCTTCAGCTGTAAAACTCCTTCTCAAACTGAACGCCCCCCCCACCCCCAAAAAATAATAAATGCACATTAAAAACACACAAAGAGGATTATCACATTTGTCATAAAACGTGAGGATTTATACTTTCTTGCTTCTTATAGGGAGGTTGAGCAGCCATCAATCACTCTGTGTCCACTGCCAGGAAGAATTCATTTCAAGGTCAAACTGATTCATTTGAAGGCTCCAGTATTTTCTACCTTTTAAGCTCTGATGTCTCAGTTTGTGCCAGTTGTTTTTTTTTTTTGCTTTTTACACATAAAAATGTGTGTTTTTTCTAAATAAAGTGACTTCACTGCTTTGACTATAATCCATGCAAATTATTTTGAACCCAGAGGAAAAGTCGTGCAGCAGATTCATGATCATGTAAATGTGGGTGAGAATTATGTGAAGAGGAGAAACGGGTGAGGAAGGTTTTTCCTGTTGCAGTTAAAAATTCAGGTTTTGATAGTAGAAAAATGGATTTTCCTAAAGAGAAATAAAGCAGCTTAAAATCCAATATAGACAAAACACCGCCGTCTGTGGAATCAGAAACTCTATTAGAAATCCACAGAACTGAACAAAAGTAGGAATTCTGTTTACGTTGCGCAGTCGGTCCGATGCAGAAGTTTGTCACTCTTAACTTTTGACTTTGACATAATTCTCCACAGACGGATTTTAAAGCTCTCTAGGATATTGCGTTTGGGGTTTAGGGAATATCACAAGCTAGGTAATCTTGATTGGGGATGACAGTCCCCTTACACTGTCAACATGCTATTTTTACCCAGCTCATTGCACATTATTGCCCTCAGGCAACCCAATCCCATTTCATCTCTTACCCTCCCCAAAAAAAATCTCTCATTATTAAAACATGCATTTAGGCCTATCAGCCTCCATCTGAGGACACTGATGAGGACACGTTTGATGGATCTGAACAACAGATCCAGTTATTGTGTTTGCTGGTAAATCAGAAGATTTCTTAATGCATTTAATCTTGTTCATCTCTGAAGTTTGAGATTCTTTACCTGCTTATATTCTCTGTTTTTATACTTCTAATAACACATATATGACCCGAATGACATAAACATTATAAAAGCAGTGGGAGCAATTTAATGAATGCCATTAATTTAAATCCTTTAACTACCAGACGAAGAGGCTCTACAGACATCGTAGTGGCTCTGGGAGGCTATATACTATAACATTAGCATGCCAACATGCTCAGAATGACAATACTAGCATGTCAGGAACCCCCCCCCCCAACTAGGGGCCATGAGGGCTTCTTGGTTAAATATGATATGAAAATATACAGTAGGCCTAAAAAAAGATGCAGTTATAACAAACAAAGAGCAAATAGAACAAGAGTGAGGGAGAAGAAAACACTGAATCTGCCAAAAAGAAGCCTATTAAGTAAAATAAATAAATACACAATACAGACAGAAAAAAGTATAAAAAGTTATTAAAAATATCAGAAAAACGAATAATTTGCTCACAATTCATCCAAATCGCTCATTTTACACAAACTTCCTGCTGTTATTGTGTTTAATATTTACAGTTTATCAGCTGTTCTGTGCTGTAATTGTTATTAATTAAATATAATATGAAATATAGTCAGTTTACTCAATGATAACATTAGCCAAGTAGCATAGACACAAACTGAGGCTGATGGAAACGTCATTCATTGTGCTGATATTTACATTTTAATGTGATTAAAGCTCCAGTTAAAGGTCAGGGGATCATCCTCAGGGGAACGTTTCAGCTGTATATTGGTGCTCAGAGGATCACCAGAGTCAGAGGGAGGAAACTTAAGTGGCCAAAACAGTAAAGTTGTGAACTGGAGAACCAAAACAATGAGCTAAAAGACAATAAAAGGCTTTGTTATTATAGAAATATTGATTGGTTTGTTCTTTCAACTGTAGAAAACCCACATTAATGAGAAGGAAACAGCTGTTTGAGGTGTGAAAACGAGGCTTCCTGCAGTGTAGATTTACAATATCTGACTGAATGTTTATCTAATGTAACCTGAGAGCAAACTGCCTCCTAATATTCACCTAAACAAACTCTGTTTTATTGATTTTGTGTCATTGTTTCTTCAGCTTTAAACTGTGTCAACCCGCCGCCACTCGACTCGAACTGTCACAGAGTAAATAAAATAAAAGAGGCGTCTAACGACCCGAGGCGACCCGCTGGGGGGAGAGAACCGGGGTCAGAGCTGTCCGTACAACTCAAAGAGGAAACGTTTCCGAGCGGGACGAGCGATTAACCGGCTGACACACTCGTACGTGCTCTCACTGCTGATTGTGGAAATCTTCCCACATTGACAGAAGACCTTTCCAGAGGGTGAAATAATCCCCCAAACCTGATCTGAATTCTGTGTGTCGCATTAGTTTGAGTAACTTAATTTCCACCCCGTGCTTATCATTAAATTAACTGAACCTTAAACCTTTTTTTTTGGTCTTGAACCTTTTTTTATTTGACACCCAGCAGCGTTCACCTGTCGGGGGGGGGTGTCTCCTTTCAGCTTTAAATTGCCTCATTTGCTGTGTTTAAACTCCACAGTGTCCCATTTCATTTCCTTCATCTTAAGAAATAATAAATGTGAAATTTGTTGCAGATTATTTCACATCCGTCACTGTGAATGTGCCCGACTGGAAAAATATGATTTTACAGTTGTCAGAGCCGTCATGCCAACCGCCCCCCCACCGACCGGCCGGGGTTGATCTTATCCAGCAATGTGCAGAAATTATGTTTTAAAAATAGAAAATAAATAATGGTTCGCTGTCTGGCTGCAGCAGAGTCGCTCTTTGATTCAAAGAAGAAATAGATTGAAATAAACTGTAAAACCGGGTTCAATTCATCAATTTAACTCAAAAATCTAAAGTTTTGATTAACATGAACTCATGAACTTGATTACCGGTGAGTAGCTTGTACTCGTAGTTTTAAGAGAAACTGACTTTATTTGTTCTAGTAAGTAAAAAACACTTAATCAGGAAAATTTCTGTAATTTACTAATTTAGTGTCACTTATAAAAGCTGTTTGATCAATAATCCTTTTAAACCTATAAAATTGAGTTTGTTAGTTAACATTTTTGATGTGATCAGTTTTAACTTTTTGTTTAATCTTAAACAAACAGACTTTAAGCTGTAAAACATACTATATGTAGTTTCTGCCACTAGAGTCTCTCTCACATTAAAACAATAACAGAAGATGAAGTGTGATGAGGTGGTGAAGCAGCGTGGGATCATGGGAGTTGTTGTCTTCACCACCATTGGCGTCATTGCAGTCAGCTTCTCCCGGTTAGGATTCCTTCAGTGTTCATGGTTCAGGAGGTTTCTACCGGGAGCCCAATGATCCACAGAGGTCTCCTCCTTCATCCGGTTCAAATCTAGATCTAAACAGTGGATGGTAACAATGTGGCTTCAGACTGGATCAACAGTCAATGTATGACAGCTTCTGGCAGACAACCACAACGCTGACGCAGGCACAAAGGGGAGATGACGCCATCGACAGGCGACCGGTGAATAAAATGATTCATTTTAAGTGTCGCAGTTTGGCACTAAAGTGACATTTATGTGAAGAACTTTAAGGAAATAAACGGCGTGCATTGCCGATGAAAGCGTGGGGGTTCTTTAAGATGTAAAGAACGATGCTTCGGCGAGGAGGGTGGCAGACTGTCCTGACAGCAAAACGTGTGAAAAGTCACAGCTTGTAAGACTTCCTCTAATGATCTCTCCCTATTAGTCTCAACAGCAGGAAAAAAGGTCACAGTGCCTCCACCGATCTACGATCCACGTCTCGTTCACTTCCAGGGATACAAAAAAAAAGATCTCTTAAATGAATAAAATATGAGTAATATCAGTAACAGTTTGTTCTCCTCTTCCTCTCTCTGCAGATAATGTTTATAGGAAATGTCTCGCAAATGGGACGTGGGCGCTGAAGGGGAACTACTCCATGTGTAAGGCCATACTTCACGAGGAGGTAAGATGTGAAGCACGAAAACGTTAATCAGGACAGTCGAAGGTTAGCGGGAGGAAGACGAGTGGCTTATTTACGGCAGAATATGGATTAAAGGAGGTGTTTCTTGGGGGGGTTTGCTTGGAGCCTTAAAAAAGGACAAAAATACTATAATGTGCTGGAGGGCATCACTGGAAGGAATCGGCTTCAAAAGCACAAAGAGTTGCATTAAACAGGCCGACTGCAGGCGGCTGGTGTTTATAATGTAGGTGGGAGAGAGTCTGCAAATCAACCTGCAGCTATTTCTCTTCTAAAAAAGTGTTTCTGGTTAAAAGAAAAAAGCAGCTTTTTCCATCGTGAAGCGGTCCCTGCTGTGCTGCACATCTTTATCCGTTCACATGTTGTCGTCAGCCTCCACCTGGACGGCGTATTGTGATGTGCAGATGTGATGCTGCGCTTATTTTAATTAGGACTGAACACAGAGAGGGAGACAGACAGAACACGCTGACCTAAATCGAAGGCTGCAGGACAAGAAAAAGACATTTGAGTTGTATGTAAAATATAAAATGACATGGTGACTCAGTGTGTTTGTGTTTGACCATCTGCTGCAACTGAATATTGAATAGTTGAGTGAGTCTGTGAGTAACATCCAGGACGATCTATTAGCAGAAATTAGATATAATATTCATAGGTGTGTTTTTATTAGTGTGTGATCACCTGGAAATGAGAAAGGTCCTCTCTATATGGGAATTATTTGTCCCCCCCCCAATATCTGTGATAAAACGTCCATATTAAACCCTTTAAGATCACATCCTCAGTTATATTGTTCCCATATTTAACATTTTATGCCAAAAAAACTCAATTTCTTTGTATTTTTATATCAAAATCCAATAATTCCCTCTTACTGTAAAACTAAATGTGGAGCGTGCTTACGTAAGAACGAACTAACCGGTTTCAATCTTCAACTTTTAGTCTCCCAGTGAACACAACCTCAGAGACAGACAGAGGACAGATTGACGACAGCGGTACCGAGGTGATTTATGGGAGTTTCCTGATGGACTTATTGCTAACAGAAGCTAACTGTCGCTAACAGTAATGTTAGACGCCGTTAGCGATAAAAACACCTCTGTACTTTATTCCCTGTCGTCAAACAACTACAAAGCTCAGACTGGAAACCGGCGTCCCTGAACACAACACCAGACCCGCTGTAGGCGTCGGTTCAGAGGTCGGCAGCGAGCTCGAAGGTCATCGGTACGAGCGATCGATACGCTCAGTGTGTCTCATTGATGTGTGTGTTTTTAATCAGGCTTCGGATTCACAGAGAGATCAATTCATCTCTGATTTCTTCTGCTGTTTTTTGGTGGAGCAGTAATCAGATTACATCTCCACACTATAGATCTGTGAGGGAATCAGTGCGGCAGACTGAGACCCTTCATTTAGTGTTTTCCCAGAGACTCTCTGAGTCCGATCGATCCCCACAGAAGATGGATATAGACTGTCTGACCTTTTAAAGAATGTGTTTGAGTTTTCTTTTTTTTAATTTAGCCCTGAAATAAATCAGCGTGGCGGCGGCGGCTGCGGCGGCGGCGGCGGCGTGATTGACATCAGGATGGAAAGGAGGTTGTTAAAAAGCCTGTAGTGGAGCAGATATCTGTACAATGTGGAGTCTTATAGCAGGAGTCAGCTGTCAGAGCGACCCGAGGCGACTGGTGGCTCTTATATTATCTTGTCGGCCTCCCGTCTCCTCCCTTCTCCTCCTGTCTCCTCCCGACGCTCCTTCCTAAACCCCCCCCCCGTTTGCTGGATTTATACGTCGGGTCCCTTTTTTGCCAAATTTTTTCTGTCGTTTGCTCTCCGTGTTCACACACATACGCTCACATTAGGCAGAGCGATCATTCAGAGCGCAGTCACTCGTCATTCCTGCTGTCACGCCACCCCTGAGAGTGATTCCCTTTATAGGAGAGACGGGAGTCGAGGGTGGTGGTGAGGGGGGGGGGACAAAATGTGCAGTCCTTGTTTGGTGAAAAAATGTATTTTACTGCAGCAGAGGGACGCGTCCTCGTCGCTGCATTCAGGGGTTTCTTGAGTCGGGGGAAGCTGTGCACATCTGCAACTCTCAGGACGGAAATAACCACGTTCTATTGTATTTATGCACGGGAGTAACCGAGGTACAGACACTCTGGGAGGCCTCCAACACAGTTGTTTAAGCGGGTTTCCCACAAAATCTGCGATATTTCTGAAAGTTCGCACTCAAAGGCGTTTGAAATCGGATGCTAACGTAGGATTGGCTCTAAGAAAGACGTCAGATTGAGTTTTTAGTGCATTTTCAGCTGTGTTGTATGTGAGTTTTGTGCACGTGAGAAACGTCCAGATGTTAACTAGATTAGTAAGACTGCTGCACACACTCAACCGCCCCATAATGCATTGCGTCTCTTCTGACTGGACAGTTATAGCCAGTTGTTTGTTTTTTTACTAATTTCACCATAAAATTTACTTCTAAGACTGTTTGAATCCAGAAATTAACTAAATATCGTCAGTTTTTAGCAGCCAACACTCTGATATTAATGTTTACCTTTATTCTTTATTCTTCTTTTAATCCTGAACCACAAATAATTGATCTCAAGATTAAAGATTATCAAGATTTCCTTCGTTATGCATTTTCCAGTCGTAGCAAATAGGATGAAATCACACAATATGAAGACATATTAGATATATTTTAATAAAACCAGATTACTTTCCTAATGCAAAACATGCTTGACAAGATTATTTTGAAAACACATAATTCTGTTGTATATTTGGGGGACTGATGGACAAAATGTGGTTCAGTTACGCTTCAAACGAACTGATTTAGTTTGTCAGATTCCTCTTAAACGTGTCAACATCTCGAGACCCTGAGAGCTCAACAGCTTCAGAAAACACGTTCATCAATGTGCCAACTGAGGAAACACAGAAACACACAACAGGCTTTAGAAATAAACTAAAACATTATGATTGATTCAGATTCGAGCCCATTTTCAGTTGTTTTTTCGCCCAAAAGCTGATTTTCTTCTTATAAAACTGTGCAGGGGTCTGATGCAACCCTGGCAGCCAGAGACAGCCATCGGCGGGGTGCAGCCAAGGCGTACGAGAGGTGCATTAAAGCCAAAAAAGCTTGCTGTCAAAACCTCTGCCTGACTGCATCACGACGCCTCACCCCTCCGAGAACCCGGCGTCCCTTTTGTGTGTCTTTGTGCTTCTGACTGTGTAAATGTGCTAAAGTAGTCCGTCCTTGAAGGCATTCACGGCGGTTTACGCACACAAAAAAGTGACAACTTGAGAGTTTGAATTGTACCTGCTTCTTTCTCAGCCTCTTGTATCCTGCTGAAGTGATTGTGAGGCTTTCAAAGCTCGATGGAAGCAGGTTGTTTCAACCTCACTGTGGTCGCTGGTTGTTCGGCTGCGTTCGTATTAAAGCATCGATTCAAGTAATTAAAGGTCCAGAGTGAAACATTCAGGAGGATCTACTGGCAGAAATACAATATTATACTCATAGGTATGTTTTTATTAGTGCTTAATTACCTGAAAATAACATTTGTTGTGTTTTTGTTACGTTATCACAGTTGGAAAGGGAGGGTGAAGTGAGGGAGTTGCAATCAGCAGCTAGATGCCATTAAATTCTGCACACTGGTCCATTGAATTACTTTTCTGCCATTTTTTTGTGTAAAATAATGAAACTACGACTAATTATCGACCCAATATTATATATTATATATATATAATTTACATTTAAAGACCTTAACATTCAACCTTTTACATTCATGTAATCAATACAACATAAAAACACTGCATTTATTCAAAAAGGGAAGAAAAATAAACATAAAAACAAGGATGTTCTTCCTGTTTTAACAAATCTATTCATGAATTTAATCTATTAATCGAAATTATTGCAACATAAAACAAATATTTAGGAGAAAAGTACATTTTATACATCATAAAGTTAATATTATTATGTAAGATCTAAACTTTAAAGATCTGAACACAAACTGTATTCACTCTCTGATTTGAAATTTAAAAAATAAACATAATACAAACAGAGAATTGTTTAAAAAGTTACTATAAACAGAAAATAATCTCCTCAAAATGAATCTAAATCACTAATTTAACGCAAACTTCCTGCAGTTACTGAGTTCACTGTTTGAGTTCATTATACAGTTTATCTGTTGTTCTCTACTGTTATTGTTATTATTGAATATAATATGAAATATCAATAAAATAAGTCACTTTTTCAGTTTATTCAGTGATAGAAAAGGGCTCTATTAAATAAAAAGGTTAAGAAACTCTGCATTTAAATCAGATACAGATACACTAAAATAATAAAAGAAAATCCTGATTTGTTTACAACAAAAATACAACATTCCTCTCAGTTGTGTCCCTGTGAAAGGTCCAGACAGGATGGTTTTGTTTACAGATCGAGGTCTCGGAGGGATTCGGGGGAACTGGACTTTTAAATGTTTCCAACCATGTAATTCAATTTTTTGTGTAATATTGTGTTTGAGGGATGGCTCGAATTGACTAAATTACCCCTCTTTTTCTATTATTTCGTAAACTAGGTGACATATTTTATATCATATTTAATGTTGGACAGTAACAGCAGAGAACAACTAATAAACTGAACTCAAACAGTGAACTCACTAACTGAAGGAACTTTGTGTAAAGCCAGAGATTTGGATGAATTTTGAGCAGATTATTTGCGTTTTTTCCTGATATTTTTAGGAACATTTGATACAGTTCTCCGTCTGTATTGTGTTTATTGAATTTGATCTTTTTTCAACGTTCAAACAGACTTAATAGGCTTCTTTTTTTTATCAGATTCAGTGTTTTTTTCCCCCCGTATGTTTGCCATACTTGGCGTACTTTTCTAACGCAGGACGAGACTGTTTGTGTCTTTAGATCTTAAATAATAATCTATATTTCAGAAGAAATATTTAATCAATTTGAAACTTTGGTGATCCTCAGTGGGGGTCCCGACCTTGCTGCATCAAAATGATGATAGGAAACAATATTGAGCTGCAACAGGATCTCTGTACGTTGGATAATGGAGGTTAAAACCGATGTTGGATCATAAAGCCTGGTCTCAGTCTCCCGTTAATAAAGCTGCAGCTCAGTCCTGAACCCGTCGGAGGCTCTGAGTCTGAACAATGGCTGACCTGCTTAAACAAGCAAACGCATCATGTTACAGCTCAGATTTGCTTCTACAGGAGAACATAAAGAAAAAACAACTAATTTAGTTCAAACAATGTTATTTTCTCCCCGCTGCTGATGCTGATTCTCTTAATTAGACCTCACAGAGGAGGAGGGGAGGAGGAGGAGGAGGAGGAGGAGGAGGAGGAAGATGCTCCTTAGCTGCAGCCATTGATCCTAAAACCACTGAAGCTAATAAATCGTCTTTAATTGTACGTTTTCTCTCTGATATCCACTGATTTTGGTCGATAATCGAACCGATACCAATACCGAGTATCAGATTTGATCAGTATTTCTTACATTGTAGTGTTTAGGTTAAGATTCTTTATTGTACATATAACGTGTGAATATCCAATAAAACAGACTTATAGATCCAAACCAATCACCAACGAGCAGTAAAGAGTCAAACCTCGACCGCAGAGGTCAGAAAATGAAATATTTATTAGAGTCTCTTTGGAAAGGAAGTGACAAAGAACCTTTTTTCTTATTTATGAGGAATTGTTTCCCCATAAATGTCTGTCCCTGTGTGTATATTACAGACAGATAACAGGCAGACACAGTAAATGAATCAGGAGATACAGTAACACGCTGTTTGTCCACTGTAGACTTAAAGAGATTTGAGCCGCTTCACCAAAATAAAGTGAATGGGAGAGATGACGTGTTTCAGGGCGGGCGGGGCCGGGATTAAACATACCCACATTTAATCTCGGCGTAGACACCAGTAGGTTACATAAATCCACTTACAGCACAGATTACTGTTGGTAGTGTGGTTGGAAATCCGATCACAATGGATATCTGAGTCACAGACAGTGGTCTTAGGCACCAATTCAGAGCAAGATGTGTCTGTTGTTGTGTAAAGCTTTCAGCTTCAGCAGTAGTGCCACGAGGGCCTCGTGGATACTGCATGTGAGCGTGTGCACGTTTCACAAGCCTTAAAGCCAGGCCAGAGGGCGACAGTCACCCAGAAGTCTCAGAGGTGACAGGTGATAGGTAGGTTATTGGCATTATGGGTGGAGGGGCCTACCAAGAAATGACCACAAAGAGATGAAAAATGACTACGTAGAGAGGGAAAAACGACCTCTAAGAGAGAGAAACAAACACAAAGAAACAGAAAACAGTTACAAACTGATAAAAAAAAACATTAAGAGACAGAAGACGACCACAAAGAGATAAAAAATCAGCACTAAGAGACAAAAAAGGGCCACAAAGAGGTGCAAAATGACTGTAGAGACACAAAACAAGTACAAAGAGATTAAAAGCAACCACTAAGAGACGCACAGGGACTACTGAGATGAAAAACAACCTCTAAGAGACGAGAAATGACCATAAACAGACAAGAAACAGCCACAAAGATAGAAGAAACGACACTGTGGAAGAAAGAGAGAAACAAACAGGTTGTATCTCTGACCTCTGCAGACAATCTACATCCTCCAGCCAAACACACAGAGAGGATTTACAGAGGTTAAACACACATCTGGGCAGCAACAGGTTTCACTCTCTGGGACTTTAATTAATGTAAAATACTTTCTCTCATTACTGTTGGAAAGCAGGAAACAGGAAAGACAGGATGAGATAAAAATAAAAGTATTTAGGGAATACACAGTAAGAGACAAAAAGGACCACAATAAGATTTAAAACAACGTCAGCAACACAAAATGACTACAGAGAGACAAAAATGACTATAAAGAGACAAAAAAGGGCGACAAAAAGACACAAAATAACTACACAAATATGACAAATGACCAATAAGAGACAAAAAGACTACCAAGAGATGAAAAACGACCACCAGGAGACAAGAAATTACCATAAACAGACAAGAAATGACCACAAAGAGATGTAAAATGACTACAAAAATATAAAAAAGGGCTGCAAAGAGGCACAAAACAACCACAAAGAGACAAAAAGTAACTACACAAAGATGAAAAATGACCTCTGAGACACAAAACAGGACCACTAAGATGTAAAATCACTACAGAGACACAAAATAACAACAGAGAGACGTAGAAGGACCACAAACAGACAGACAACAACATTTAAGAGATAAACATCGAGCACTTAGAGACGTCTAATGTCGGGGGGGTCCTGCTGTCGTATAATCCCTCCACGTCTGAAGGATATCTGATGTTAGAAACAGCTGCTAGTTATTGATTCATTATTATATTAGAATAGTTTATTTTGTATTTATCACACTGAATAAATGAGTTTATTATTATTTTATTTAAAACTGTGCCACCCTCTTCCTCCTCCTCCTCCTCCTCCTCCTCCTCCTCCTCCCGTCCTAATAAGCTCAGCAGGGGTCCACAAAAACTCTCCACACAAATGAAAAATAGACAAAAGAGGATTTTCAGCCTTCTAAGTCTTTTTTTAAATTCTTTTTCATCCTGTGAATCTTGTTTCTGTGTTTCTTCGTCTCCCTGCAGAAGAAAGGAAAGATGCACTACCAGATAGCTGTGATCATTAACTTCCTGGGTCACTGCATCTCAATGGTGGCTCTGCTCATCGCTTTCTTCCTCTTCTTGTGTTTGAGGTAAGTGTCTGGGCCTCCTCGCCGCCGCCGCCGCCGCTACCCGCCCGCCGGTCCGCAGATAATCCTAAAGACATCCTTCATGTGACGGGAAACGTCAGTATTCCTAAGATCCCTCGTTCAAAGCGCCTCTCGTTCTTATTCAGAAACCGTTTGGTCATGGGATGAAACATTCGCTATCTCAATCCCGCAGATTGTAAAGGGGGTTTAAACGCCCGCAAAAAAAATAACTAGGGCACATTTCCCACACACGGGAATAATAACCCATCTGGAGGCCTGCTGGGACAACCGTTGGGTTTCTCCCACAAACCCAAAGTGAGAGAGGAAAAGGTCTTAGCACCCTCAACTGTTATCGATCCACGAGACACACCCCCGCCGCCGCCCCTCGCTGCCGCCAACGCCGCCAACGCCACCAACGCAACCAACGCCGCCAACGCCACCACCCCGGGGAAAGGTGAGAAAAGCGTGAAAGGGCAGAAGAGAGACGTAATGAACGTTTTACATCAGCTTCTGTTTGTGGGTAAAAATAACGACATTAGAGGAAAAAGAGTTCTGACATTTATTACTCACCTGCTTCAGTTTGTAATGAGGGGGGGGGAGAGGGAGGGAGAGGGAGGGAGAGAGAGAGAGGGAGGGAGAGAGAGACAGAGAGAGGGAGAGAGACAGAGAGAGAGGGGAGAGAGAGAGACAGAGAGAGGGAGAGAGACAGAGAGAGAGGGGAGAGAGAGAGACAGAGAGAGGGAGAGAGACAGAGAGAGACAGAGAGGGGAGGGAGAGTGAGAGGGGAGAGACAGAGACAGAGAGAGGGAGGGAGAGAGAGAGAGAGAGAGAGAGAGAGAGGGAGGGAGAGAGACAGAGAGAGAGAGAGAGAGAGAGACAGAGAGAGGGAGAGAGACAGACAGAGACAGAGAGAGGGGAGGGAGAGTGAGAGGGGGAGAGAGAGAGACAGAGAGAGGGAGAGAGACAGAGAGAGAGAGAGAGGGAGGGAGGGAGGAGAGAGAGGGAGGGAGAGAGAGAGAGAGCGAGAGAGGGGGAGGGAGAGTGAGAGGGGAGAGAGAGAGACAGAGAGAGGGAGAGAGAGAGAGAGAGAGAGAGAGGGGAGGGAGAGTGAGAGAGGGAGAGAGAGAGAGAGAGAGAGGGAGAGAGGGAGAGAGACAGAGAGACAGAGAGAGAGAGAGAGAGAGACAGAGAGAGAGAGAGAGCATGAATGAACCCATCAACATAGAAATATTGTAGGTTTATAATTTAGACAGATGACATGAAGAATGTAACTTTAACCCTTTAAGATCTCATCCTCAGTTTTATTGTTTCCTCTATTTAACAATTTATGAACATCAATGTTAGTTAGTTAGCTCTGAACAGAGGTTTGCTGCTGGTTCCAGATCTGCAGTGAGAAGCTCAAATATGTCCACTAATGTCTCTCATGAAGGTTTCTGACCCCTGGTTTAACATCAAAGGATTTATAATTGCAACCTCCAGCAACTCTTACTTTTAATCAAAGAACTTCTGCTCTTTCCCGTGGAAGCTCGTCTCTGTGTATCCGACGCGCTCGGGGTTTAACTTCCATTAAATTGTTCAGGTGGGATTATTTAGGGAGCGTGAGGGCAACCGCACCAATCTGCAGACGACCGTCACCTTCAACCCAAACCTTCCTCACCTGTGTTGTTAGATCAGGAAGAGGAAGGCATTAATAAATTAAACCGCAGTCACCTTTTTTCTGAAGTGTAAATTAAGTTTTTTTGACGACGGAAATGAAAACACACACCTGTGACCTCGGATATCGCTGCACCAGCTGCCTCACACACGAGCTAACAAGAAGCCTGTTTTACAGTCGACATACATTCAACGTTTAATGTACGATAGGTGAGACTTTATTGCTCCTCCGGGGGGTAAATTCACACATTAAAGCAGCACAGAGAGAAACTGAGAGTCAGAATGACTTTAATAGAAGCTATTTACATTAATTATGCAAATATTTGTGCAAAAGAAGTCAAATAATCTAACTCTGCCAAGCTATAAGTATAAAATTAATAATTCTGAAATCATTATATATACTCCATAGTACTGTATTATTCCTGAATTTACTGCACATTTATCATTATATAACATTATATACCTACTTAAATAAATACATGGTTGCAAAATAAAACCTCTAATTTATTTATTTAAATTAAACCTTTTAAGATGCAAACATCATTTTGAGGAGTTGACAGAAAATAACGTGGAAAAAACTAGTTAATTATTTAAAAAGTTAATTTTTACGAATAACCTCACCAACTTAAAAACTTGTGTTTGTGCCACCAATTATTAAATAAGTGGTAAATAAAAGTACCTTTGATTGTAGAGGAAAGACTAATTCCCTGAACTGAGTGTCGTACATTTGTTGAACATAATTTCCGTATTCATACTCATAGACTATTTATGTAGTTCAGACTTCACGGTGCACAACATAAATATTTTATGTATATTATATTTTAATGTTGTTTGTTTATAGCCCTGAAGAAAACCTACATGGTCGAAACATTTATTTAATATATCAGCAGATATACTGTCTGATGTATGATTGAGTCTTTCTATAATATTTTTCTTGTATTTTATATTTCATTTATTTCATTCTTTCTTTATCTGTTGTCTCACTGGGCTGCTGTAACATGAATTTCCCCTCAGGGATAAATAAAGTCTCAACTCATCTTTTCACCTCTGCCCGGTGTATTTTTAAAGAAGAACTGATTGTAATCCTGATCCTAATGTAACTGTAATCTGATTACATTTTTTATTTAAGTGTATTTTATGAGACAACAGAACAGTGTGACCTAAGAAAACAGAAAAAATGGAAAAAGGTTTTAGCAAACATGTGACCTCTGTCCAGTATCTAAAGAAAAGACAGTTTTCTTCACAACCAGTTCAAAAACTCCTTCTCGTACGTTAAAGTAGAATATCTGAGTACTTTCTTCACCGTTACGACTCTCATGACAAGAAACACATCAAGAAGAACTCGGGGACAAAAGATAAGAACATAAACGTGTATTTTTGTTAAAATAAGAAATATCTAAGTAAGTAAGTAATAAGTATTGATGAATTATGTAAGACAACAGAAAAATGTGACCTTTGAAAACAAAATGGAAAGATTTTTAGCATCAAACATTAATGTTAAAACATGTGACCTCTGCCCAGTATCTAAAGAAAAGACTCCTTATCGTACGTTAAAGTAGAATATCTGAGTACTTCCGCCACCGTTACGACTCTCATAACAAGAAACACATCAACAAGAACTCGGGGACACAAGATAAGAACATAAATGTGTATTTTTTTCCACTGTGTCTTTAATAAAGACGTGTCTGCAGGAGTGTTTCCTCTTAATTAATACACATCAGGCCATGCTGACCCCACCGGCAGGATGCCAAGGGAAGTGAGGTCACACAGAGTAATGAATACAGCTGAAAAAAAACCCTCCCTGATTGTGCTTCTGGCGCGGCAGTCGCTGCCGCTGTGATACTAATGGCAGCTCCAGTAACCGGGGTGACATAGTGGTGAAATTAGCTGCTCGTTTGTGGGACAACACCCTTTATACATCATAATTTTATATGTTTATTAGCACCCTTAAGGCTGCTTTTTGTGAAATATTGTAATTATTCAAAACTCTTTGTTGCAGCATTTCTATGCAGCTGTTGTCGTGTTAATGAGGCGGTTAATAAAAAACATAAAAAATGTATTTAAGGCACGATAAGACAAAGTCACGCTCACGCTCGTCTGCTCAGTCAGCACAAAGCCAGTGCAAGTGACACCTATTAAGAATTGATGCGTGCTGAAAAATAAATCATGTCATTCATGGCTGGCGGAGGAGGAAGCAGCCTTTGCTCGCTGATAATGCCGTCAGCTGGTGACAACAAACGCGGCTGTCACTACAGCGACCGAGGTTGGTTTTGTTCTGTCCGTTCGGTTGTGTTGCTTCTATTTTCGACCGCTCGCTCTGAGGCGGTTAAAGTGGATTTTAATTGTATCCTAGGGTCGATTTATTTACAGCATTAAAAAAAGAAAGAAAACACATCAGACTTTCAGGACGTGACACAAACAAGAGTGCAAACAGTGGGAATGAAATGTTACTTCATATTATATTATAGGGGGGTTGAGGGGCACTTTGTGGCTCTTCATTATTCATATACATCCTCTTTATTTCCTGTTTTTCCCTGAGATTATTTACAGCGTGAGCTCAGAGCTGAGGAATATCTAAATTACTGCCTTTGTTTAAAATACACTCTGGAGAAAGACACATATTTCCCGCCAGTTCGGTCGCATGTTTTTGCTTTAACATCACGTCTTTTCCTCTCTGCGTGAAGTCATATTATTTTTTTCCAGGAACCCGAAGGAGAAATGTGGGAAAACGAAGCATCGAAGCGCAACAGAAAACACTGGGTTCACTTTTGTGTTCAAAAGTAAACATTAAGTAATTTAAGCCTCATAATACAGCCTATTAAGTCTAAATTACCATATAAGCTCACATTTTCGGGAGGTTTCCCTGGCGTTCAAATCTACCAAGAGCAAATGTAAAAGGACAAAACTGTTTCCTTGATGAGATTATGTTTACCTCTCTCATGTCTGTGAGTATGAAGCCACAGCAAGGAGGTGGGTTACCTTAGCTTAGCATAAAGACTGGTGGCAGGGGAAAGAAACTTTTACCATCATGTTATATATGTTGTTTATTTCATCTGTATGTTTGAGCCTCATAATGCAACCTATTAAGTCTAAATTAACATTTATTAGCATTATTAATAATAATAATAGGTCTAAACAAGGATGCATTAGCCTCATGTTTTATGACGTGGTGGCGACTCTGCAGTTTATGATTATTACTTCTATCACAATAACAACATGTTGTTGTTTTGTTGTTATGAAATTACAGAACTACAATAATTAAGAAAACTCAGCTGTCAGACTTTCCAACAATAAGCCTTCATCAGCTACGTGTCCAGTTCAGTTTCAACACACATTTTAAATGCAAAAACATTTATTTTATTCACATATAAACTTCATTCATTTCCATATATTTTTTTCTCAAAGCCACAGGGAGCCACTGGAGAGGAGCTTATATATTATATTATAAAACAATGGCCAAGAGTCAGAGAGTCTATTAAGTCTGTATGATTAATATAAACTATAAAAAATACATAATGCAGACAGAGAATCGTATAAAAAGTTCCATAAACAGGAAATAATCGGCTCAAAATTCATCCAAATCTCTCAAAAACTTCCTGCAGTGACTGAGTTTGTTATTTGGGTCCATTGTACAGTTTTGAATATAATATGAAATATACATAAAATATGTCTCTGGGGGTCCCTCTGTGCTAGAGATTGGGGGTTTTATTCTCCTCTGTTTGTCTCACAGGAGCATCCGCTGCCTGAGAAACATCATCCACTGGAACCTCATCACCGCCTTCATCCTGAGGAACGCCACCTGGTTCATCGTCCAACTGACCATGAGTCCCGAGGTGCACGAGAGTAACGTGGTACGTATCGCTTTATCTGCCAGTTATGATATCATGCTATCACACAACTCAACAACATATAAAACATAATCTACTGTTTATACACATTTTAAAGTGCAAATATCACATCTTTTATATCTTTTTTTTTTATCTTTAATGAAAGAAATTATGAATCAACTCGTCCTCTTTCCCCACAGAATTCATTTGAATGTCTTTGTTGCCGCTGACAAGCAGCCTGTTATGTTAATAAGTTTGCCGAATCCTCGCTGGCGTCCTCAAGGACAATGCAAAAAAAACTTTCAAGTGTTTCAAGAGTCAGCTGCTGCATTCATGAGCTCCACAATAGGTGTCAGATGAACACAAACAAGTGCAGGAATGTCGAGCTGTGTGGCCATGAGCCTCCAGAAGAGTTTCAGCACTCGTCACACATTCTTTAATGTGATCAGCGTCTTTATTTCAGATCAGTTATTAAACCTTCAATGAGAACCTTGAGACCCGTACGCAAGCATTTACACTGGTTGTGTTTCTCTTACGTAATCGCCCGCATGTTGCCGGGGAAATAAAACTTGTATTACAGACGATTGGCAAACATGGATGTCATTAAAGAGAACGTTTTTCTCACATTAAAGTATTCAGAAACCAAAGTGGAGCTCGGTCCGTGTATCTTTGGGTCATTGGATTTTCCTTTCAGAAACGGGTATTAAAAACAGAAAACGAGTGGTTATTTGATTTTCGTTTTAAAATACAAACATTAAAATTGAAATAGAAGGCGTTTTTCTTTTTCATGGTCAAAAAGGGATGAGCGAAATTTTAAAAAATATTCGATTTTCATTTTCTATTTCATATAACAAAAAATAAAATCACTAGAAAACAGAAAACAGAAACGGAAAAAAGGCCTGTTGTTTCATATTCTGAGACCGGATGTTGTCATTTACAGGACGGTGCTGTGGAGAGGAAACAGAAGGCTAGTCGGGTACGGCACTGCGGTCGCGCCAGCCGCTCCTACATTTTACTTACGCCCATATTGCGACCTTTACGGTAACTGCACAGAGAAGACCAGCTTACGGTTTTCAAATTAAAAGTAGTATTAAAAGGCAATTTTGACTGGTTGCGTTTTTTATATTGACTCATTCGTGTAAATAATGAAGACCATTGAAAGCTACTGAAAAGAGGTGTGTCTTAACCAGCCAGTGTAGTCATGTGATCCACCACTGATTTGGAGTCATTAGGTCACATGACCTGGGCACTATTGAGCTAAAATGCTGTATTATTCATAAAGAATATTAATATCAATTATGAGGGAAGATATACCATCCATAGCAAGTAGCTCAAATATATGAAAATACCACTTGGAGGTACAAATATGGACTTTTATTGTCTAATTTCTCCACATTGGTGCAGTAAAAATGTATACTTGTAGTCTTAGATGTGTAAAAGTCAAATATACCATCCATAGCCAGGAAACACTGAGCAATATGTTTTTACAGTACCTCAAATAAGGTCAAATATGCAATCTCTGGAGGCATAAATATGAGACTTTTATTTTGGCATTTCTCCACACTGGTGCAGTAAAGATACTTGATGTAATTTTATTCATCAGGGGCGCATGAAACACTTTAATGTAACATATTTTATTTTAAATGTAGGTTTTAATTATAGCTTACTGATCTAAATACCTTTATTTTGAAAACTGGAAGTAGATAAGCTGTTTCTCCGCATTTACCATAATCCTGAGAATACTTGTACACTCGAAAAAGTGCGGCTGATTTGACCACGGAGATCAGACTCACGGCTGGATTGACCGCAGTCGACTAGCCTACTGTTTCTTCTCCACAGCTCCGTCCTGTAAATGACAACATCTGGTGAAAATGACCAAAAGATACACGGACCGAGCTCAGGGAACAGTTGAACTCAAAGAACTTGTTAAAACTTTTAATAAAAATATTTTGTTTTGTAGATTTGGTGCCGTCTCGTCACCGCCTCCTTCAACTATTTCCACTCCACCAACTTCTTCTGGATGTTTGGCGAGGGCTGCTACCTCCACACCGCCATCGTCCTCACCTACTCCACCGACAAGCTCCGCAAGTGGATGTTCATCTGCATCGGCTGGTGTACGTACTCCAAATTGTGGGAAATACTCGTATTTTCTGTCTCGCTGAGAGTTAAACGAGAAGAATGACAAAATTAGGTTTTATAGGGCGGTAATGTGCCAGGCTAACTGTTTCCATTTGCTTCCAGTCTTTATGCTGAGCTAAGCTATCTACCTCCTGACTCGAGTTAAAAAATATATTAACCGACATCTCGAAGCTAAATAATTAACATTTTATCTTGTTTGGTTAATTTGTAAACAAACAGAAGAGTAAAAAGGACAAAATTAGGTTTTATGGGGAGTTATGTGCCAGGCTAACTGGCTCTTGCTGAATAATTGGTGCGTGGACAGTGGAGAGCGGTATCAGTATTTCTTTCCATTAAAACCTTTGAATTATATTCCTCAAAATGTGGAAGTATTTGTCAGTTTGGGTACATTTCATTGCAGCAGAACCGACTGAAGGTCAGACACGCATTCGCCCCAACAATGGGAGCCGTTGACTTGATGGAGATTCCAGGATTTCGTGTGGCAGCTGCGAAATGTATTGGTGTGGAGTTCACTAACACCCCGTTTCACACTGTCAAACTGAACTATGTGCTGCTGAGATTAGGTGTATTGTGCCAGCTGGATTACATTTCCCCCCGGGGCCAGCGGGAAGCCTCCGTGTGAAGAGGAGACGGCAGCGCATTTCAGAACGGCTGTGCAGAAAAATAAATAAAGATTCAATTTTTATTTGCTTCGCTTTTTTAAAAAAATCCTGAAGCCTTCAAGAGCAGAAATATTATTAAAGAGTGAGCGGTGTGGACGGGAGATGAAGAACAACAAGATAAATTACATTTTTCGAGTAATCCGGGGCCTGTGCGAGCAGATTTTCCCGAGGGTTTAACCGTATATGTTGCTAATGAAGTGGAACGTTTCCAGAGACATGTGCAGCTGGCAGAGTCTTCGTGGTCCCCGTTAAGTAACGACTGCTTTATTATACTCCTGCGAGTCAGTTAATCAACGACGGTCGCTCGGCTTTATCACCAGCCGGAGTCCAGCTTTTAAAAATAAAAATTCATTCACAAAAGAAATATTCAGATGGTGACAAGTCTTGGCTCGAACGCGCTCACGGATCTCGGCTTCATGAGCAACAATTGTTTTGACAGAGCTTGGCAGAGCTTCACAGAATGAAAGACAAGGATTTCATACTGCGAGCGTGAAATCCCCGGAGAGATATTTTCTGATCTGAATAGCAGAGAAAAGATTAAAGAATCTGTCACTTTTATTTTACTCTTCTTTTTTGTTTTTGTTTTTACTCCACAGGTATACCGTTCCCTATAATTGTGGCGTGGGCCATCGGGAAGCTGTACTACGACAATGAGAAGTAAGAAGGACAAAGTCAGACTGCATGAATGGTTATTAATAACCTGCTGTAATCACATTGTACAATATTCTTAATTACACATTATCCCTGCGGTCAGTTTCACTTTGATTGGGAGCGATTGGGGCTTGATTGATGTAAGTGGTCTCTTTATTACACAGGTGGAATATGCACTGAAAAATAACCTTTAATGGATGAAGCTGGTGATATTTTCGAGTTTTTGTTCATAAAAAGACAAAAAAACAATATTGACTTGATGTTGACTTGACTTTTTTATCATTTAGTGACTTTAAACTGACATATTTTATGGAATATTTCATATAACAACCGTACAACGAACCCAAACAGTGATCTCAGTAACTAAAGCACCAAATATGTATTAATCCACAGCTCAAAGTAGTTCCCAACAGTGAGCAGCTGTTTCAGTAAATTGTTTTCCACAGATTTTTGACACATGAGGGATAAATATAAACACACTGCTCGATGCAAACACCTTTTCATTAAATTCCTTTAAAGTCTTCACTGCGTATAAATCAGCGGAGTCTGGACAGGCTCGGATATAAACTGCAACCTGTCTGGTCGGCGGTAACTCTAGTTCGCTGATAAGAGCCGTCGGCTGCCGGGAGCCGGACTGATAAGAGCTGTGAGAGTGAACCCAAACAGTGCAGTTGTAATGCTGAAGGGGAACTACTGAATGGAGAGATCATTCGGGGCAGCGGGTCGCTAACGGGTCACTAACGGGTCACACACATGGGCAAAATGGCTAGACAGCGACCCCCGTAGAGAGCCGCACGTTTCATTGATACGGAGGAAATTTGGTACACATGTAGATTACGTCCGGACGTGCAGAAAACAGGAAGTTGTTTGTAACTTGACCCGATCATCGCTGCTTGCAGCTTTAATTTTCTGTGGGTTCTTCCTCCAGCAGCTCATTACACATTATGATTAATGCAGCTTTAAATAAACACAATCTACATACAGGTCAGACTCTTGCTGTTGGACTTTATGTGCATGCAGATCTAAATACGTATTAAACCACCACTGAAAATAGTCCCCAACGGCAGTTTGATAAAAGTTACTGTGTCAAGCTGTTTCAGGAAAATAAATGAGCCTTTTTAAAAATTAAACTTTATATTTTTGACCCATTTTTATAGATTTAGGTCCTCAGTAGGAACCGGTGTGTTTGGGGCTGTTGAGAGACAGTTTTGGGTCTAGTTGTGGACTATATGAAACACATCTTACCCTCTTTTTGACTTCCAAGTGAATAAATCAACCAGTGCAGTTAGATATTTAAACATTTATGTTATTTTACTCGTATTATCTAAAATTAGCTTCCATTTTTCTTGATTTCCAGCGCAGTAAAGCGTCTCTTACTCTTCTTTAGAAGATAATCAACCAAACAAGATAATTTTTTAACTCGAAATAGTCTCATTGCACCACCAGATGTTTTCATTTGTTTCAAGAAAATGTGTTTTTTTTAAGGATTCAATTCTTAACAAATTGATCCTGAACACACTGTAATTCATATTCTGGGTAAATTACTGACTGGAAAAACATGTTTAAACCCTCTGAGCACAAATCAGGAACTTGGAACTGAACTCGGAGGGCAATTACACCATTAAACACGTCTGCCTGTTCGAACTAAGCTTGACTGATTGCCTCTGTTGACATTTCAGGTGCTGGTTTGGAAAGCGAGCTGGCGTATACACAGACTACATCTACCAAGGTCCCATGATTCTTGTGTTGGTGGTAAGAGTTTTCTTTTTCTTTTTTCTTTGTCCTTCAGTAGCAGCATTCAGCACAGTTTTACATAACTTCCTGATACAATTAGTCTTCATTATGGCTTTAAAATGCCTCGCAGGCGTGAAGTGTTGGAAACCTCAACACATTCTTCATGTTAGCGATGATAAATGTGACGTTCTAACAGTCGAAATACCAAGTATAACTTTTAAATCTTTGCAACTTGGCAAGTTGCGAAAAAATATGGGAATCATTTTGGGTTCTGTGTTGAAAAGCAGGAATGAAATCCAAGGATATGTTCAGGCTTGTTTGTACCTATTAGGAATTATCTCCAACACTGGGTTATTTCCATATCCTCAAGGGAAATTTGATGCTCTTATTTCACTATTTCATCAGGCGTATCAATCTTTGTGCTGTCACAAGCTCTCTCATCGGCATCCAGCAGCTAAACTTTAAATTAAGATGATATATAAGATGGACATCAACCACCTGCGTGTGTCAGCATTCAAAGCGAAGCTGGTGTTATTGTGACTCTTCCTCACCCTGGCAAACAATCCGCGTGAAGCCAGACGCTCAGCCCCCCCCCCCCCCCCCTCCGCAGGGCTCGTGTGAACGATCCTGCAGATTTTGGAGATTGTCTGGGGACTCAGCCCGGCTCCTTGTACAAGCTTTAGTCATCTCTCGTCTGGACTACAGTAATTCCCTCCTGGCTGAGCTTCCAAAATACTGTCCTCAGTCCTTATCCACATGCATGCCTTCACACTCCGACTACCACTACCTTTGCAAGCACTCCCCCGGCTGTGGCGATTTGGCCCTTTTTCTGCTCAGTTTGGGCTGTTGTTTCTTTCTCCCTGCTGGGTCTCCAGTGGTGGAGTGACCTTCCCTTCCCTGTCAGAAACAGCACATTCCCTTATCTTCTCCCCTTAGTTGAAAAAGTCATCTCGCCAAGAGGCTCTTTATGTTTCTGCCTCTGCTGCCTCAGTCTCCCCCTGAAGCACACATCTGCCTCCTTCAATATCTCTCTTCTTCTTTTTCAGCTGAAAATGCTCCAGTCTTGCTTTCAATAGCAAGTTCTCTCTGGCTTTTATCTCTTTGCTTAGCACTTGATCCTGCAGGATCATCGGCAGGTCACCAGAATATTTGTGGTATCTCCTGTCGGGGCGTGGGGTTTGGGAGGAAGGGGGGGGGCTGCGGTTGTGAACTTTCCATGCCTCGCCATCGGTGGCTTTTAATGTCAGGAATAAGCTGATGTACTGCTATAACGAATAAATACAGGATGTTATTAAAAATGTTAACGTAAGCACAAATGCATCGGGGTTAGCGGGGACCAGCGGGGATAGATGGTTCTTGAAAGATTGCCATGCATCTGTTCAGGCCAAGGTCAGGTCAACTGGTCCTGGAAAGTATTCCTACAGCTATTTTTGCTCCCATGTTACATCATTCACACCTATCGCATGAGCTATTGATTTTGTCATTCATCACATTGTGGAAATGTAATCTCGAGGAGCACTTCAGATAATCAAGAATCAGTTTTGGGTTATTACTGACGGATAAAGCTGACGAAAAACAAAACAACGGATTGATCCCGCTAAACGAATGTTATCAGCCAGCAGAGTCGGATGTAGGTTAATCTTTCTCGTGCCGTAAGTGTTCCAAAAACTATTAACGGTGGTGTAACATGTTCCACACACACACTGTGGTTTATTTTGGGTCTCACACCCGCCGTCCTGCTGCCAGAGAGCGAAAGAAGAAGAAATAATCTGAGTATAAATACCACAATACACAGCAAAACACCACAAAAATACATTCATCTTCTCCTGTATGCGTTTTCCTATATTCATTACACTATTTATTATTATGTTATTTAGATGTGATTATGTGAACATACATTTATGTGCAGTTAAGTCATCACATGTAATTTACCCTCCATAATGAATGCAAATGTTGAAAAAGGGCAAACAAAATAACAATGTGGTCAAAAAATACAGTTTATCTTGTGAAATATACTTAAAACATAAAATAATGCATCCAAACTACAAGTGTCGGCAGCTAAAAGTACTTAAAGAATCAACAATAAATGTATTATTATGCATAATATTATAAATATAATATATTACTGTTTTATAATATCATATATATTTTATTTATATTATATATTACAGTATAGTTATTTAAAAAAGACACACAGAAGAACAAACTGTTTCCTTTCTCCTGTAACAATGAAGTGAACAAGAGTATTTCCTTTTCTCATCGGTTTGGGTTTTCATTATCAGGCTGATAGCTTGACTTCCTCTCGTGTCAGTCAACGAATTCGACAACAACATGTGGTTAGAAATTGAACTTTTAACAATAATTTAACTGATTTCCAGCAAGTTTCTTTATTTTTATTCCTCCAAATATTGTAAAACAATAAAATACAATAAATAAAAATAAATAAATAAACATCAAACCACTGAGGCTGTAACATTACTCCAAAATAAAAGCCTTGGGGGAATTTCTCCAAACGTCCAGTTGGACTTGAGCATGAAGTGATTACAGTCTTTGGTCAAAGGTCAAAGGTCAAGGTTACTGTGACCTCACATCCATTACATTCTTGTGAAAGTGGTATTTCAGGAGCGCTCGGAGGGAATCTCATCACATTCGGCACAAACGGACTCGAAGATGAACTGATTAGATTTTGAACGTCAAAGGTCGCCGTCACCTCACAAAACACCTTTCTGGGGAAATAAATTGAGAATTCATTCACTAATTATGACAAAATAAGATAAAACATTGAAGATATTCGAAGACAACTTCACTGTGAATTCTTTTATGGACATTATTCAACGTCATAACTCAGGAACTGAAGAAGAGATGATGACAAATGATGAAAATGTTTGTGAATTGTCCACATTTAAGAATTTGTAGCTTCTTTGCAGCAACATCTGCATTTAAAGCTACAACTTTAATTATATAATTATATTATATTATGTGTTTATATCCAGTTGGAGCTCAGCTGTGGCTGGAAAGTGTTTAATAACTCAAGTATTGTTGCCTGTGATAGTTACATTAGCCTCCATTAGGTCTCTAGGAGTGGAGATGCTGTTAGCAGCAGAGCTTCAGTCAACAGATTGGTGGTACATTTAGATCCATCCAGGGGTTGGCGTACCGATGTAGTCTCTCTATAACGTTCCCGGTGAATCTTTACGTCCCTAGTTACACACAAACAGACATTCGGCAGGACAAGAACAATCAAACTCAACAAAGTCAAGTCGAATCAATGTTATTTATATATCACAAAGTTGCCTCAAGGAACGTCACAATCTGTACAGCGCACATCACCCTCGGCCCAGATGAGGAACAGCTCCCATTAATGGGAGGAAGAGCAGTTTGTTCCTCCCTGAAAAGGGCTTCAGTGTTGTGAATCAAGTCCAGTCTTTATCTTGATTTTGGACCCCAAGGTTCTTGTATGAGTCCACCCTATTTACTTCCTCTCCCTTGATCACAGCCAGGACAGAGGGCCTCCTGTTCCTCTGATAGTCCACCACAAGCTCTTGGATTATACTTATATTGAGCTTCAGGTGACTGTCGGGTCATTGCACCATGTGACGAAGCTCTCTATAAGTCCTCTGTGCTCGTCTGTAAAAAATAGTCTCCAAGTGAAGACAGCGTGTTTCTCCCGAGGGTTTTCCCATCAGAAAGAATCCTGCATCGACCAATAAGATTCAATATATAACCTGTAATTTATCAGTCAGCGGAGGTCACGTAAAGCGAGTTGAGCTGCTCTCATTGGCTGCTCTTGGTTTGGATTATGTTATATGTTTGTGAACAGATTTGAGGAGAGAAACAGTCAACAACAGAATCTGGATCCAGATCTGATCAGCACTGTTTGACAGTTTGATCTGAGTTTGGTGCGTTGAGCTGGACGGACTCACTGAGAATGAGCTGTCAATCACAAGGTAGCCCGCGCCCTAAAGCATACCCTGCTTTACGGTCTGTTTTACTCTAAATGGGACCATCGGTTACTAAATGAACATCATGCTGTATGGAAGAAGACTGAAACTAGAGACTGAGACCATAAACTCATCAGGAAACTGTTTACTGAGCTCATAAATCAACTGAGAAGTCGACTCATTTCTCCATAAGACTGAATGGTATCTGTGTGTTATTGCAACCAGTGGAGCTCCCCCTGCTGGCCGTTACATAGACTGCAGGTTTCAGACACTTCCTTGAAGCTCTGTCCATAATCTGAGAGGAAATACCAGGAAACAACCACAGTCATAAATATAATATAGAATATATAGAAAGAGTCTCACATTGCTGTGTTTGATTTTCAGATCAATTTCATTTTCCTCTTCAACATCGTGAGAATCCTGATGACCAAACTTCGAGCCTCGACCACATCGGAGACAATCCAGTACAGGTAAACTCTGATAAAAACCGTTTCACACCTTAAATAATTCATGTTTCACTCTTGATCGGTGGAGTGTCGCCTCCGTCTAAAAGACGCCTTTCTGTCACGCTTGTCTGATCACCGGTCTCCTCCGGTCTCCTCAGGAAAGCAGTGAAGGCCACGCTGGTTCTTCTTCCTCTCCTGGGAATCACCTATATGCTGTTCTTTGTCAACCCGGGGGAAGATGAGATCTCTCAGATTGTCTTCATATATTTCAACTCGTTTTTGGAATCCTTCCAGGTACGATTCAACCCAAGGGTCAGGACCCCCAGTAGGGCCTTTTATTCATTTTAAGGAGTGTATGAAAATCTTTAAAATGTATTTTTTAAATTTCCTCTCTGATAAACAACCTCGTCCTGCTTTTAAAAAGTTAAAACCAGGGTGCAAACTACACGGTTTGTTAAATTCTGGGGGGTCTCCGACAATACTTATACTAAAATACTGACAATATGCTATTTTTGCCTTACATTTCTATATTTCTGCATCTTTAACATCATAGATTATGTGTAAAATTAGTCTATTATCAATGTATATATGTCATTAACTGATTATTAAATATCAGAAGTAGACCCCACGTGGTCTTAGCTATGAAGTAAGCTCACAGTATAGTTCACACCCTGGTTATAACACCCAAAGAGCTAATAGAAGAAAACATTAAATCTGTCAAATAAAGACGCCTTTTAAGTCTGTAAGATTGTTAAAAAGTTAGAAAATACATAACACTTGTATAAAAAGTTGCTAAAAATATCAGTAAAATTAATCTCTGATCATATTAACAGTAATAATCTGCTCAAAATTCATCTAAATCACTCGTTTTACACAAACTTCCTGCAGTTATTTAGTTCACAGTTTATGAACTGTTCTCTTCTGTTATTGTTGTTATTGGATATAATATTTACTTTTTTTACTCACTGATAGAACAGAAAAGGTTGAGAATCGCTGATTTATCTCACAAACAGTGAATATTCAGACCTTTTAGAGACAATCTGAGTGTAACGTCGTCTCTGTGGATGTATTTATTTTATATAAACAGCAGTGAGTTGGACGGTATCGTTACCGTGTTCCTCCGCGGAGATGATTGAACGAACGCCAATGTGCGTCGAGGTTTTGAACGCCGTCCTGTGTGTGCTTTTTGATGATGTTTTCTCCCTTTATCTCCCTCCTCCTCTCACACAGGGCTTCTTTGTGTCAGTATTTTACTGCTTCCTAAACAGTGAGGTAAGCAAATTCACATCCTCTTATTGATCTAACATTTTATGTCTCCCTCTCTCTCTCTCTCTCTCTCTCCTCCCTCCCTCCCTCCCTCCCCCTTTTTGATTCACACAATTATTTATAATGCCCTTCTTTGGGCGCTCCCACTCTCCCTTTTGGTGGCTGCTGCTGTGTGTTATTGCAGGGAATTGAGTGATAAAGCTTGAAGCACTTATATTTAGGGCACAATTAAGACTTGTCATGTACTGACATAAGTGACATCACTTTCTACTCTTCATGACAGTGTCAGACCTAATTTGGTTCTGCAGAGAAATCAGGGGTGAGACCCACTCAGAATAGCACAGAAATATGAATATGCATGCACGCAGTAATGCTGCTTAATGTTTAATGTATGGTGTTATTAATATTAGTCTTAGTAGTTGGATTATATTTATTAGTAGGTGTTTTTTTAAAGGCTTTGCTGTGTTTTTTGCATGTTTTTCCTCCATAAACAGACATTATTCACATATTTACGTCCAGTAATACATACGTTTTGCTTCTTTCCTGCATTAATTACACAACAGAAATCATATAAATGTTACTTTTTTCCTTCCATCCAAACTTCATAACCCTTCCCCTCCTCTAACTAGCGAACACTCATACTAATTTGTTAATTTTAAAACTGTACAAACAGGTAACAGATGTCGGGCTCGTATCGCTCCTCTTAAATCCAGAATAAACCAAACAAAGAGTTCTGGATGCTAAAAGCTCCAAGAGTTTGACGTTTGACACTAAAAAGGTGCATCTGATGGGATTAATTTTGGTATTTGGTCATAAACCAGATGGGAATTTTGACTTACTACAATTAAAAAATAAAACTTTAGCATCTCAGAAACTAAATAAAATGTGTTTGTTGTAAAGAAATCCTTTGAATCACTTTGTTTTTTGTTTTTATTAATACAAATTTTCATGTTTTTTCATGTATTACAGTTTATTAACCTTTTATCTTTCAGCTTGTACAGATTTATTATTTCCAGATACTCAAATAAATTACATCAGAACAATAATCCAAGTACCACAATATTAAAGTAAGTTGATTACTGTCCATTATTAGTTTACCTCAACACCACATATGCTAATTAAAAACAAGAGAAAAGAATCAATAAGAAGTATTGATGAGAGTTTAATTCTATAAAACAACAGAACAATGTAAAAGCAAAGAAAATGGAAAGTTTCAGCATCAACAATGAGTCTGTCCCATTATAAGGTAACAAAAACACAATGGTTCTTATAGCCAAGTGATTAAACACTAATAAAAACAAACCTACAAATATTATATTTAATTACTGACAATAGATCCTCCTGAATGTTTCACACTGGACCTTTAATCTGTTTTAATTCGACTAAAACAACCTGAAAATCTCTCATATTAAAACAAACTTTAGTCCGAAAACTTCAGGAGTTATAGCAGGAAGCTCATTGAGGAAATAGATTTTTATTTTGGCCCTTTAAAGGTTTCAGAAAGGACATCCGGTGCTTAAAAGTATAAATTAACAACCGTCCGCGCTCTCCAAAAGTTTCGATCGATACCTTTTTTTGGCTTTCGGCTGCAACCTGTGAAATACGACCTGATTGTCTCTGAATGGACCCTAACGAGCCAGAAAGAACGCATAAAGATAATTATATTATCACCTGCCCTTTTCATCCTGATAATGGAGATTATGTTATATATTTAGGTTTTAATCGAGGCCGCCGTACACCAGCTACTCCTCCCGGTTGGATGTAACATCAGCTGACTGCTGCCCTTTGCTCGCTGTCCCACAATGCGTTCGCCCGGCTGGGATGATGAATGAACATCTCATCATTGTAGCTCCAACAAGGGGCTTAACCAGCATGTGTATCTTACAGAGGTTATTGATTTAGTGTTTAGTTACAGGCAGAGAGGAGGAGGAGGGAGGGAGGAAGATGAAACAGTCAGATTGGAGAGAAAAAGGATAATATTTAGCTCTAAAAAAACACGAGGATCAAATGATCAGACTGCGTGATGCCGGTTCGTACGTATGTTATTACTGGAGGGGATGTACGGAAGGTGGGACGCACACACGGGACGGATTGATTTTTGTGGGAGTGGAAGTCAGAGAGGACGAACCCTTTTTAATCATCATTAAAGTGATTTATGGCGTCTCATATAGATTCTGTTTGCAAAATATGTTCAGCGCACAGAATTCGAGGCTGTAAATTTCAGCTTCAACGACGCGAAAGAGAGAAAAAAATACAAAAAGTTTAAAGGAGTTTATAAATGATAAAAGTCCTTATAAGTTGGGAGGGTGAAGCGAGGGAGTTGCAATCAATAACTAAACCACTAGATGGCACTAACGTCTACACACTGGACCTTTAATGAGTCAACATTTAGATTTATGTCGTAGTTTTAATCTCTTGTTATTAAGTTAAATGATAAGATATTAAGTCAGAAGTTGATCAAATATCTATAATGTCTCATCATTGCGACTTATTTTGTAACAGTTTATAGTATTTTAGTGCTAATAGTCTATTTTTAAGTTCCTCTATGTTAATGTTGACTTTGAGGATCCAGTGTGTAACATTTATATAAATATAGTATATATATTGTATATATTGGTAACCTGCAAGTTAATTTACACTGAACTGAGGCACATTGTACATTTAAGTACAGTAAAAGATTGTTTATTGACTTATAATAACTGAAACAATGTTTACAAAGTGTTTTACATAGAAGAATATCAGCAATAAAATAAGATTAAAAGCAATATATGAGGAGAGAATACAACCAAAAACACACCAATAATCAGATTATATATGCTATTAAAAAGAGATTAATGACATTATATAAAAATAAAATAACTCACACATAATTGATGATTATAAAAGTGTGTTTATATCAACTTTTAGCTCATATCGTATGTACAGATTTTAGGGAATCATTTTAAGATACTCCAAGCATCCATGTACATCCCACATTAAAAGATACACGATATTATTTATTATTAACAGCCAGAAAAACATGCATTAAAAGTATTATGAGGTCGTATCAGATGAAGTCATCATCAGGTTTCCCAGTTTGTACATCCTCGCACTTAGAGGAGAGATGGAGGCGGCGAGGAGGCGAAGAGGAGTCGATGTGACAGTCGTTAGACAAAATAAGACGTCTGGTTGCTTCAGAGTCAACAATGCATCACCTGCCTGTTGTTCTCTTACAGACGAACATAACAGAGTTCATAACAATTATTATAAATTAACTTTTAATTCAACTGCCAGCGTGGCTTAATGTGACACGAGTGTTTGTTTATCACCGTGTTTCTGTACGCTCGGAGAATCTACTGCACCAAACTCCCTTTGAGAAATATCACATTTAACGATTCCTAACGTGTCCGTAACAAACACGTAACTCTAGAAACACGAGATAAAGTTTGTCGTATTGTCCACAGTCTGACTGTCAATTCGGCATCGATATAAATCCATAAAGATTAAATTATTTTGACGATCTTGTCGCCTCAACTTGCTGCAGCGTCTGTAATCAGTGGGCGGGAATGAGAGGGCGGATTGTTTAATCATTAGTATTTCTCACTAAAATAAGAGGCTGGAGGGTTAAATATATGTTTAATTAAACACAACGATGTTAATTCACCGTCTGTTATCGTGTGTGTGTCTGTATTGGAGGAGTTTTTTGGGCCGTTACCATAGTAACAACCTGTATGAAGCTCACTCACAGCTCCTAAAGGTGCATTTTTAGGGACTGAGGCGTCCTTTCAAGATGGTGCTGGAGGACGGAGGAGACGAGGAGGCACAAATTAGAGAAAAAGTGTCCGTTTATGAATCAACCGTCTTCCTGCTTTGTCGTCCGACAGGTGCGGTCGGCGGTGAGGAAGCGGTTCCACCGGTGGCAGGAGCAGCACTCCATCCGGGCCAGGATGACCCAGGCCATGTCCATCCCCACGTCACCTTCACGGGTCAGCTTTCACAGCATCAAGCAGTCCACGTCGCTATGAGAGCCGGAGGAAGCAGCTTTGTCGCCGTGTCATCGTATTTTCTGCCACATTCACTGGAGGACACTGAAACACTTTCTGAGCTGGGGGAGGCGGCGAGGGAGGGAGGGAGGGAGGGGGAGAGACACTGCGGCAGCCTCCTATAAAAACCTCAGGAGGGACTTTATTTTCAGGAAGTGGACGAGGATGAAGGAAGGACACTGCAGACTTTATGAAACGAGAGGTTAGTGGATCAAAAGATAGCACAGTTTGGATCTGTGTGAATGTACAGCACTCCTTATTCTTTCTGCTCGCCAGCGACGTTTCTCTGTCGTATTCCCGCTTTGCACACTTTTTATTTTCCCGCTATCTTACGTCGGAGAGCTCGTGACGCTGGACTGCACTGAACTGGATTCCAACCCAGCGGACACTGGACACCAGACAGAGACTAACTTATTAAAAGAAATGACATTTTCTTGCTTTTATTTTCTTTATTTTTTTATTGTCTGGTCCGCTGTGTTTGTTTATTTTTGTGTTGTGTTCTTTCTTCCTCTGTTTTCAGTCGGCTCGGTGCGGCCGTCAACTTTCCAGAAGGTTTTAACACATTCCAGACTTTCTAGCTGAAGAGTTTTGTTCCAAAATAAAACGTCTGGTCGGATGAGATCAGAGAAGAGGAGCTAGAGTCGGGAGGCGATTAGCCTAACTTAGCGTAAAGACTGGAAGCAGCTGGAACAGCTCGCCGGCCTTTCTTCACAGTCCCAAAACAATCAGCGGTCTTTATTTAGTGTTTTAAAGTCCAGGTGAATTACGTAGATCCTCGGTTATATTGTTGCTCTATTTAACAATTTATGCTAAGAAAATGTACAAAAACTAAATTTATGTGTATTTTTATATCAAAATCTGAATAATTTTGTCTTCTTGTAAACAAAATGTGACACAGAGTTACATAAACTAACTGATTTCAACCAATGATATCCTGACATTCACCCGTCAGTCAATCTTCAACTTTAAGTGACACAGAGCGAAGTTTTTGTACTGTTGAAGAACCTCATACAGCCTGCACAACACACACTACACACTACTGACCTAACAGCTCATCTAGTTTACTGCCGCCATCAAAAAGAAATATTACTTCTATAATTTATCTTCTGCAGTAAATCCCCCCCCAAAAAAAAAACAGAAGAAAAAGTTGGCAGCTGCGATCCGTTAGATGTAAGTGTATCTTGAGATTAACGAGGTGTTTCTGGAACAAACCTCTTCAGCTGAATAAAGAGACTTATTACTATTGTTGCCTCTCTACCAGCAAAGCCAGATAAGGAGAATCATTAGCCGAGGAGAATAACAGCAATCAGGACGGGGTTCTCGCTCTCTCGCGTCGACCGACTTCCTGCTCGGTCGAGTTGAAGCGCGACAATCTAAAGGCGAACGCAGTAACTCTGTTTACTGATTTATTGTAAATATATATGTATAAATAACTGAAGATCCAGTGGAGTCGTCACAAATATAAACCAAAAAAAAAAACAAAACAAAAAGACACAAACCACGCACTGTGAATCATATGGGCACAATATCCATGTGAGCAACAATTCACAGTCCACATTCCTTCTATACCAGTATGCCTAGCACCTGTGCATTTCTACGAACTGCTGTTTATGTCAAACTGTATATGAACCTCATCTTTCTGTCGCCCTAAAAACAACCTCTTTTATTTTATTTTAAGTGATGTGTGAGCTCTGGTTGAATGTCACATGTCGCCACTGTGATGTGTTTTACTCTGATGTTTGTTGTCTGTTGCAGCCGGTGCCGCTGCTGCTTCGTGGAGAGGTTTTATTATTTTATTATTTAGGGTGAAAGAACGACTGTTTGCTCAAATTAAAGAAAAAAAAAAGTATAGTTTTCATGCACTTTTGTAATGTAAAAGAATTTATCCCATTTTTTTAAAGGCAGGAACCTTAAAATGTTAAAGCTGCAGCAGGTAACTTCATGAAAATCACTTTTTGGGATATTTGTGGAAACTTTCTCTTCATCCTGACAACAGAAGTTAGACTCTCGTTTACCTTAAAAGACCCTTTATATCATTAAGTTAACTTACTATATTATAAAGTTTATTAGTATTATATTAAATAATAACAATAATAGTAGAGAACAACAGATAAACTGGACAATGAACCCAAACAGTGAACTCAGTAACTGCAGGAAGTTTGTGTAAAACCAGAAATTTTGGATGAATTTTGAGCAGATTATTTCCTGTTTAGGGAACTTTTTATACAATTCTCTGTCTGTGTTATGTTCTTATTTTATTTTTGTACTTTTTTAACTGCAGGATGATGAGATTTAGAGATATATAGCGGGGGTCCCGAACCCCAGGTTGGGAACCATTGAGTCTGATAAAAGGTGAATAAATCTGATTCCTCTGACTCGTTCTAGTGCTTCTAATGACATTTGCAAGAATCCATCAGGCCTGAACAAAAACAACCAATCAGAGACAAATAATATAAATAGAATAAAGCGTCTTTATATCTTTCTCTGCTCTGATTGGTTGTTTTTGTTCGGGTCCGATGGATTCTTATAAATCCGACCAGGAGCACTAGAACCAGTCAGAGAAACCTGATTGTTTCACACATTATCTGTCTCATGTTCAACTGTCAGGATACAGTGAAAGATTCAGTAAATATAACACAAAGTTATTTTTATAGAAGTTACCTGCTGCAGCTTTAACGTCAGCAGGAATAATCAACATTTTCATTCCAGCACAGTTAAAAAAAAAGCAAAACAAACAAAGATAATTACTGACACTGACTTCTTCGTGTGGTACATTTGGTGGTCAATCAACAAAAAAATCACAATGTAATTCACATTATTTATTATTATTTATTTTCAATATTGTTATTTTCATACTTGAACAGATGTGAAGAGATAATAAAAGTGTGTGTTGCATTTTGACTGAATGAAAAATTTAAGAAAATGGCAAGTGGAAGTTTATTTATAGGACGATGTGCTTTCTATAAAAACTAAACAACAACACACCCAGCTACCGTTATGGGATACCGGCTTTAGAGGCTGCGCTCTGGATCACACTGCCATTTGTCTCCACGGTCCCCTGAGAGTTAAGCAAACAAGAAATACATTTTGAGCATCGTGTGATCCTTTTAAGCTTTGTGCGTGTCTCAGAGGGGAGTGCCGCCGAACATCAGCTTTTAAATAAGATCCTTCTGCCCAACTGAACACTCACCATTTTACCCATGACCAGGAAACGAGACAGAGAGAGCGAGCGAGAGAGAGAGGAGCTGCTTTTAATCTGTACGGATGCAGAAACTGCAAGATTAAATGCAAGTTGCAAACATTAACAGTGACAGTGTTCATGAGGGTTTCCAGAGCGTCATTATATGCATTGTGATTTAAGGCTCCTTTGCGCTGCTCTGAGGCTAAATTAGATGTGAAGTTTTCATGCAAACACTTAAAAAGAGAGCCACAATGTTAGTCGTAGCCCACAGCGCCGCTTTAGGGGAAACTATTACCGTCATGTTACTGATTCATCTTCTTCAATCTAGCTTTTGGGAGAGTTGCTCATCATCGCGGTCGGGAGATTAGTCAGAAGGATTTAATTCTTACTCTCATTAGTTTAACAGCCGGAGTTGCTGTGATGGTAACGAGCAGCGCTAGTGTTTCTCTATATGAGCGGTGTGTGTGTGTTATACTAAAGAGGCTCGACGTCCCTTTCAGAGCACCAAATGACAAACGGTCACAACACGAGGGAATTCAGAGCAAATCAATACACCTATATGTCCACTATCGCCTTGATTTAACCTCCTAAACCTCGCTGACCTGACGGTGGATCGGTCATTAAAGGAACAGTGTGCAGGATTCAGTGGCAGCGTGTTGCCTTCAGGTGAGAAACAACAACAGAATCTGGATCCATATCTGATCAGCACTGTTTGACAGTTTGATCTGAGTTTGGTGCGTTGAGCTGGACGGACTCACTGAGAATGAGCTGTCAATCACAAGGTAGCCCCGCCCTAAAGCATACCCTGCTTTATGGTCTGTTTTACTCTAAATGGGACCATCAGTTACTAAATGAACATCATGCTGTATGGAAGAAGACTGAAACTAGAGACTGAGACCAGAAACTCATCAGGAAACTGTTTACTGAGCTCATAAATCAACTGAGAAGTCGACTCATTTCTCCATAAGACTGAATGGTGGAGCTGCCCCCTGCTGGCCGTTACACAGAATGCAGGTTGGTAGAAATGGGCCTCTGTATTTTTAGGGGTTTTAGCTGCCCCCCCCCCCCTTAGATCCACCCCTGCACACTGGAAGTCTAAAACAAACTGTGTCCTCAAACATCAGTCACACTCACAGAAACTAAATCAGCACTTCTCGCCTCCAAAGTCTAAAAAGGCCCCGAATATGTCTGATTGAATTTTTTTTATTTTGGGGGGGGGGGGAGATGTGTTCGAAATGATGCTCGAGACATCTGAAGCATTTTAGAGCTTAAAGATTGAGTGAGCCATAAAAAAACATGGAGTCTTGAATATTTTACCCGCCGTGTGGCTTCAGCGAGGAGCTGGAAGGAGCCGATGCAGAATATAAATGATGTCTGATAATCTGGAGGTTTGTCTCATGAGGGAGCTGTCATGCCAACGGGCTCTGGACGGCGTGTTAACGGTATATTCAACCGCGGTTACTGGAGTAACCAGTCCACATGTAAACAACGTGAGTCTGTTAGAATAACCCGGGTGAGCTGCTTTCGTACCCCCAGTGAGGCTTTGTGCAATATTTACTGCATGCAAACAGGATGTTGGTTGTATTTGATATGGAGGCCCATTTCTGCCAATGTGACGGGGAAAAAAGGATTCTGTAAGTCCTAATATCTCTAAATAATGACTTAATATCTCAGAATAATGACTTAATATCTCTAAATATTGGTTGTGGCTCATTCAGATTAAAACATAACCTTTGACCCCACAGACAGCACTCCTTCCTCCTGTTGCAGAGAAGCACGAAACAGTTTTTTTATTCTAGGAAATGTGTTTCCAGATTTTCTGAATTACAGCAAAATGCAAATAACACGAGGCAGCAGAGAGAAGCTTTCATGAAGCAATAGCCATTATCATGCTGAT